GTCGTCCGTCGTCTGTCGTCCGTCAACACTTGTTCGTTAACACTCCAGCGGTCACATTTTTAACTCAATCATCATCAAACTTTGTCAGGATGCTTATCTAGTTGATAGCTCGAATGAGTTCGAACATGGGTCATCTCGGATGAAAAGCTAGGTCACAGGAGCTAAAAATTAATAAAACCTGTTAACACTTTAGCGGTCACATTTTTGCCTCAATCATCATTAAACTTGGTCAGGATGCTTGTCTTGGTGATAGCTCAGATGAGTTAGAACATGGGTCATCTCGAATGAAAAACTAGGTCACATGAGCTAAAAATAGAAAAATCTTGTTAACACTCTAACGGTCACATTTTTGCCTCAATCATCATCAAACTAGGTCAATAACTGAAAGATAATGGACAGCCGGTTATCATTCTTTTGTGCTGCACTTCTCCTCAACGAGATCTATCCACCTATGAAGTTTCATATTGACATCTCAAAGTTTCTTTTTGAGTTATGCTCCACTCGGGTGAAAAATTAAGTATGAAAAGTAACAAAGGGCAATAACTCAAAAATAAGGAAGGGTAGAGATATCACTCTTGTGCACTGCACACCTTTCGAGTGAGATCTATCCACCTATGAATTTTTATGTTGATATCTCAAAGGCTTTTTTTGAGTAATGCTCTGGACAGAAATTAAGTTTGAAAAATAACAAAGGGCAATAACTAAAAAAATATGCAGGGTAAAGTTATCATTCATTATAACGTAGTGTATTTATACAGAAAGAAAAAAATGCTGTGACTTTTAAAAACTTCCATTTAGCGTGGTTTGAGTATTTTTGATAAATTTGATATTTTGTCATTCATTTGCCTGAGTATCCATTTAAAACGTCTCACATAAAAAATATAACGTTTTTACAGGGCGCGATTATTTGATAAGGAATCATTATGATCGATTATGCTTCGAGGATACACATCAAAGCAATGTACATCAGCAGTTATAATAATAACTATGCATTATTTAAATATCCTGCAAAGTTAGGTACAAATATCAAAGTTGCAAAATTCTGTATTCGAGTACCGCAAATAAGTGAAACAGGTAATTTCAGGGCTGGTATGGTAAATGTTTATTGTGAAACGCATTATAAGTGTCATTTTAGAGAAAAAAATATTTTATTGCGCAAGAAAATGAAATTAATCAAAAAAGACAGTTTAAGCTCTTTATTGCAAATATAGAAACTTAGAAATGTAATGTTCAAAAGACATTTTACACATGAAAAGATTTTCTACGACATGAGAACACATAATCCATTCAAACAAACTGGCGAATTTCTCAAGTGTGTCGAAAGGATGTGCGGAAATGTGTTAATATAAAACGCTGATATTTCGTGTGTTGATACAAATACTGTTTATATTCTATATGGTTTTGAAAAAAAAAACTTCTTTTTTTGTAATTTTTCACGGAAATGGGCTGTACAATGATTGCGTAAAAAAAACAATAAAATGTCGGCTGTAGAAATGGCATTTTGTCACGTGACTATTGCCCATGCTACCGAAAACTACCCATCTAAATATCACGGCGTTGAGACGCCGTGAAATTATTGAAATACATGGGTTCTAAATTTTGACGGTCAAGTCTGAAAATTTAAGTAAAACCCTATTATGCATGCACATTTTATGGACAAGACACAAAACAAAACTGCGCTTAAGAATATATAAAATCTCAATATCCTGCTGTGGCATTGACTTTGCACACAATGTCTTACCAATTCATTTTGATATATTATCATATATGCATAGGTTATGGACCGGATAAAAACCCAAAATTTATTAAAGACAGTATAAGAATAACAGAAGAGTTAAATCCCTTGTTGTGACCGTGACTTTGGTCTTTGACCAAAGGACCTATATTTTTACGTGATTCATGACATTCTTATTATGTCTGAACTTAATCATTTTGAAATCCATTATATATGAAGATATAAATCTGAAAATCACATCGAATTACTCTTGCAGTGATATTGACTTTGAAAAGGTGACATCAGTTTTGCATGCAATACATTGTATTTTAATAATGATCATGCGTACCTGACATGGAGTCCTTCGTTTCTTCATAATCCAGTCTGACATTATTTCAGAGACAAAGGAAATACTTTTTTGACACAAAAGCACGCTCACGCTTATAGACACGCACACGGGAAATGATTCATCCCGTTTCCATTTTATGTAGGAGGCTTACAATTAAAATCCTAATATATTGACAAAATTTCAGTCCGTAAATTTATATACATGTAATAATCTTTATAATAAAATACATTGACAGCCCCCCCCCCCCAAAGTAAATTTGCCCAATGCCATGAATAAAAACTGCAAAGGTGCGTCAAATGGATAAAAAAAGAAGCATACAGAGAAATCTGGTGGCAATTTTCTAAAAAGATTATTCAGTTTATGATATTTTAGTGTTTCTTCTTACTCTTCAACGTTAGAATTATGCCAACATATATCTGTCAAACACAAAACTATACTGGTTATCTTAAAAAATTATAACTGCTTTACATCCCTGAGTAGCACGATTCTACATACTTTGACTTATTTAATTTCAAACTGTTCTTATCTTAATCTCTACTAAAATAACAATAATTATAAAGTTTGCATTACTAAAAGTACACAGTTGTTAAAACTGTTAAGGTACTTACAAATTATAAAAGTACACTCTTTCATTTTTATTTAAAGATTTTATCGTCTGCATTTCTTGTTCTGACAACTCAAAGTCAAATACCTTGAAAAATAATCTTGTCCTTTTTAAAATTGTTTATCAATGGTTTGGTCCGGATTAAAAATGGACAAGTATATTTAGGATACTAAGCGTTGTAGGGAATAAGGAATTAATCATTTAGATGTTGAGTATGATAAAAGCCTCATTAGCTGTCCATACCCATAACAGACTAGTATGTACCTGATGTCACTTTCCTTTGTTTCCCTAAATTTCTATTATTTTATGGCTACAAAGATGTGTGATATATTCATACATGTACTATTGTCAATTCTTTGCGGTCGGACAAACTAACCGAATCCTGGGTAACTAACCAGTTTACCAACTTCTCTGCAAGTGACCGACCTCTAAAATTTCGTCTCTATAACCCTCCTCCAGAAAAGCAAAACAAAAGCCATTTTCATCAAACATGACTGCAAAAACGCATGTAAATTCCACATCGACTGCAAAGTCGATAGATCTCTCGTTTTTTCCAAACAATTCAATGGGTAAGTTGTGAAAAATGGGTTTGGAAGTTTTTCTTATATTGCTCGATAGGAATGTTGATAATCGAGGCAGACATCCATATAATTAAATTAAGAACTGGACGTTCCTCAGACGATTTAGAATCTTTATTTCCCTGTTTTAAATCAACAAAATGTCAATTTGTGAAACCATTACAATGTTTTTAAAAGTGTTGTATTTTGATTGTCGTTAAAAATAAATATACACCCTGTTAATCGTTATATATTTGTCAGCTCATTCAATATGGTGGGCTTTTAAAAAGGAATATGTACTCTTGCATTTATAATTTCGCTGATTCTAGCTAGGGTAATACTTTTGGGAATCACGGAAGTTCCACACTGTATGAGAAATCGAAGAATGACCTGTGTGGAAATGGAACTTTAGGTCATTTTAACACACTATTTCATAAAACCGTACATATTTATCTAGCCATTTTCTAAAGAATGAGCCTGAATTCACATACTTTGATCAATATTTTTATGTAATATCTGATCAACAGAAATATTTCAAGAAAACTAAACTTATTATAAAAATAACAAGGAAATCGAAATTTTAAGCCCTACAAAAGTATTCTTTCTATATACGCAAAGTACACTACGAATTACTTATTTTGAAAATCCATGAATGGTTGATGCCAACAAAAAGTGTGAAATATAAATATTTGAAGTTTACCTGTGCTTCTGATTTTCCTTTACGTTAAGCTTTTTCAATAAGGACTGGGCCTTGTTTTCCCGCTAATCTCCTAGAAGCAATTTTATTAGGTAAGGAAATGTTTTTACAACAAAAAAAGAACATGCATGTTAAATAGGTCAAATGGTCTATTGCTTAAATTAACTAAAATTTGGTTTCAAGTTCTATCTACGTTGATTTTTAGTGAAAGAAACATCCAGTCGGGCGAACGACGGTTGTCAATAAAGGTTGAGATACCCACTACAACATGAAAAAGTGCATCAAACTAGCGGAACAATTGCAAAGAGTATAATGTCATACCCACTATTTAAGCCGGAATGCTACAAGAAGGTCACTATCATATTTACCAATTAAGCCAGAAACCTGTCACGAGATCAATATTATAGTCACCAGATAAGCTTGAATGCTGCTTGAGGTCAATATTATAACCACAATTATTTACGAGATTATGCCACGAGATGAATATGATTATCCACCAAATATGCCGAAATGCTGTCATAAAGTCATAATTTTGTCTAACAGGAATGCTACCGCAAGGTCATCTGTATAAGATCAATCAGTCCACAAATTTGTATTGACAAGATGATTTTTTTACATGATCTGGTGAGTAGTTTTTAACCTCGAAAATTCCAATATCTAAACTAATACATTATCTGAAAGGATGCATCCTAACAAAATAAAGATCAAATAATAATTTGGGTTTAAGTGTAAAGAAGGTTTCTCAATTCTTTAAACTGGTGCTCTAGATTTAAACCCAACACAAGATATAAGAACATACAGTTATATTTTAAAACCAATTTATGCTGTTATGTTGTCTCTGTAGTGTAATCCAATCAGTGTTTCATTTGACATGACATAGTGACCTTTTTATAGATAATATTTACTCATAATCATTCATATTATTGAGAAGAGCATGTTAACAATGTGTGATGAAAAGATGATAAATAACATCAAAAATTGACAAATACCATTGACTGATCCTAACAGCTCACCATTGAGATTGAATTTAAAAGAGTCTGTGTTAAAATATAATCTTACACTGGGTTTGAAGGGCATCCCTATGGAGCAAAGGATGTCACAGTCATTCCTCTGCCTAAACAGAACTTTACCAAACGCTCATTGAGGAAATATGGTAAAACTTCAATCTGTTAATACCAAAATGTTAACTGTTATAATATTCTGTTACTCGATATTTTGTCAACAAAAACAATTGTTACTACGAGGGATGATCAAAAATTATCCGGACTTTGTAAATAATTTTTTACCTGATAAAATGAATTTACATAAAAATACACGGACAATAAATCGGAATCTTTCCCCTTAATGATACAGAAAATACCAACAAGAAATATAAATAAAGAAAAAAGTTATGCTTTCATTGGCATGTACATGTAAAGCAATGCGGCGCACGGTATATCTGAAAAATTGACGTTAACTACGTCACAAGCGTATTGTCCTTAACGGAGCAGCTTTTTACTCATTCACAAAGTAGGCCAATACGTGGTACACATGTTATCCACTGCCTAATATATATCTCTCTGTACAAGTCGGTATCATATTGTATTGTAATAAAACGGATGATGATAAAGAGCTCCTGTGATTACGCAAACTCCCGTTCTTTCCTATTGTAACATGATTGCTGGAAAAATCGCACATGCAATAAACTATATTATGTATTAAAAATAATGTAAAATAATGTTGCTGAATGATAATGTATCATACACACTAGAAAATAAAAGAATAATAAAACTAAGAACAAAATTGTCATTATTTTAAAATAAATAAAACGCATAGCCGAATTTGAACCGTGACTTTTTAATTGTTGATACAATTTCTCCATAAGACTACTGCGTAAATTAATAAAATAATTTATACAATTGTAAACCAAGAAAACAATTTATGTACATAATGCATTAACTATTATCATTTTAAAATCCTTAGAGATGACTGCACCGTCCCGTAGCTACTGTCGACCATCACCGACAATGTCCGAAGTCAATCGATTGTCATCTATCAACGTCTCGGCGATTGACGTCAACAACGTCCTTGAAAATTTCATTTTTCTGTTTCTCCCTTACTTGTTTTCTATTTGTCTATTACCCTTTCTTAATCATGTATGCTTATCAAAAACTATGCCGTGGCATACTGGAACTTTTTTCTTGTTAGTCATAATCCTTTTCTACGTTTTAAACAGTTTCTCGCCTTACTTTTAACAAACTTTTCTTATTGATCGATTTCCGAGACGTTCCAACGACATAGTTTTAACGTGAGTATTTTTTTAACAAGTGACCTTTGAATTGTGATTGCAAATATAAATATGATTTAAATGAAGTCATTTTTTTCTGACACGTCAAAGATATGGTTGATGACGTTTTGACGTATTTTGAAATCCAATTTAGCCATATTGTAAAATATACGCAGCATTAAGCGCCGGATGACAACGCAAATTGACGCACTGCGCCGGGTGTGCGTTACCATGGGTTTTGAATTCGCTGTTACGGACAAACTTTTTGCGTTATCAGATTAGATATAGCATCAGTTTACAGGTATTGTTTTACGATTAAGTGTGATATATAACAATAAGTGATAGGTTGAAAATTCTTCAATTGACAGTCACAGTCCTGTTTATTTTTGATCAGCCCTCGTAGATATCGTTATTTCGTCTGAACTTGTTTAGGCTTATGATTTACACAAATCAAAAAGAACATCCACACAGAATACATTTTAACATCCCACGGTGAGGTAATTTTACTTTATCTTGTCGTACGTGACGTTGATATCTAGGCCGTTTAAACTAAACATTTCAATATTTTCACTTAAATTACTGACTTGCTTGTTTGACGGCTTTATGGTACAGCAATCAAATATTCTTTTCGTTTGCTCGATGGTGAAATTATACAATCCAATATTTTTGCTAATCCTAATTGGTGACATCTTTCCATCGCCTTTAATTAGAATACTTTTATACCGTATAAGTGTTTTCATTCATATAAAAACTAGTGTTTATATGGCGATAAATCATTAAGACAAAAACAAAACTTTTGTTACAAAAATTAAAACAAAATAAACAACAACAACAACAAAAAAACAGACACATTTTTTTACTTGGGGACGATATGCCGCTTTTCATGGAATGGCACTAACGTGTCTCATTGAAGGTTCCATGATAACCGCCATATGAATTCAACTGCGGATGTTTCAAAATTCTAAATTTTACCAGTTCATGTTTAATAATGAATTCTGCTTAAGCCGGTGCTAGGGGGCGTGGACGGTAGTTTGCACTTGACAGTACCGTCTATGAACAGGCTCAATCAAACCGAGCCTGCAACATTTTCAATTGTGCCGTGTTTGACTTTCTTTATGGATTCTTATTTCTCTCTATTTTGAAGAGTAAAATAAACCCTATAGCAACAAAACGGCGGCAACCTTGTATGATTCTAGTAAAGCTCTGTCTCCCCCTTCACATTCAAGTAGTCCGGTTAAAACAAAACTATGCAATATTGAGAGCATGAAAAGAGATCAATGTAAACAAGTAACGTCTCCTAAATATCTTGAAAAATTGTAAAATTTATTGTATCCTCAATTTTTAATATGAATTGGCACCATGAACGAACAAGCCGAAAAGTTGAAAGTCTTTACTTTCCAGACGTCCTCTAATGTGTAGTATGCATAGTCACTATTGCCTGTTGCAAAGATTACATCTCCGCTTAAATCTTGGTCCTAATTAGAAAAGCAAGTAAACACATTTGATTAGTTTTATTAGGTTAAAGCAAATACTATTTTGAAGACACTATCAGTCAAGTAAAACTAAATGTATATTATAAAAGCTAACAATTTTACATGATTGTGTTTTATCTGATTTCGCAAATATAGTTTATAATGTCTCTGGAAATAGCCTCTCTTATCTTTCATGTAATACACTTTATATATTATACATATAATGAAAACAGTATTCAACATGACATGGTGTTTACACTAATACATTACATAATTACAAATTACTGATGACAAATCTTTATACAATACGGATATTGTCCTTAACATACATGTTTATATTTCAAATAGACGTTCAGTTGCAAAACTTTCTTCATGTGAAAAGTGTATGCATTGCAAAAAAATGATATAATTACTGAACTTTTTGTCCAGTTGGACAATGCATAAGAAACATGTCTACATAGCTTGTTCGTAATTGTTTTAACGTATCCTTCAATTCCCCCAACACGAGTTTCGGATTGTGATGCGTATTCCATAACTGAAAATAGGAAACCCCTTTTTAAACAAGTCATTTCTTACACATATCGAGTAATTTCATAATGAGTTTAACTATCATTTGAGTTAAAGAAGATCAAGCGTTGGTTGAGCTGTAAACTTCATTCAGAATCAATAAACATAATTATCTTCATGGCCCGAATTATAATTATAAGACCTTTTGTAGCCCGCCCTTTTGTTTTTTCTATATACAACTTGGCATTTTTGCATACAACTTAATGTTTTACAAAAAAGCTGAATTTGAAGACCAAACAAAAGAAACCTTTGTGGTAATAAAAACATCTTTTCGGTCTAAGACACCTTCGGTTATTTTCTTTTCCAACGCTCTACCAATTGCTTCCTGTGTCCCGTAAGCCCATGCGCTTTCAAAATGTCGATATCCGGCTTCCACTGCAACACCTACGGCAGCTTCTATGTCATCGGGACTACCCTAAAATAAAAGTGGATCACTACAAATACCATGCATGGTTACCTATGTTTAAAAGGTCCTCACTTGCATTACGGCTCTGTTTTTGTATTCACGAACAGTTAAAATTATTCATCTGGAAGTTGATTGACAGCTAGCACTAACGATAACACCAAAATACAAAGTAGTCCTTTGGAACAAGCTATTTGAATGTTTTAATACATTAAATAGCTTTTTAAACCAACTTAATTTTGACTTTGAGAATATTTAAAGTAATTTCATGATGAAAACACAAACATACAAGAAGAATATACGTGCACCCTTCCTTTTGTCGGAAGCTGTGTGTTTCTAATTTTTATCGTTATCGTCTAGGGAAATAAATACATCACTTTTAATAATTATGCAGTTTAACTGAAATAGGACAGAGTTAACACGTTTGAACAACAGCTGATGAAAAATGAAATCAGGTACATAATGTACTCTATATCTCTTTTGCAAATCTACATAATTGCAGTTAACTGGTGCATAAAGTTTACTTGTATAGACGCGCAGGAGGTATCTCTTGATTGAATACTCCTGTGCATCAGCGCTTTCAGTATATTGTGACCTTATATGACATAATTAATTTGAATTCAAGTCAACAGCACATATACCAACATTCATGTTACAAATCGAAAAGCTATATACATACAAACTACATGTAAGTAGTAAGGAGAATCATCAGTTAGGTAACCGAACACAAACACACACAGATACATACACGTTAAGTAATGTTTCTTTTTATAGTAATTTTGATAATTGAAATAATTATTGGCATATCCCTCCCCTTCGTTCCCTCTCTCGTTTAAATCAGAAAAAACACGAAAACTCCTAAAGAACAAACAAAAACGACAAAATTGAAAATGTCGCAGGCTCGGTTTGAGTGTGTTTATTGATGGTATGCCAATAAAATGTGTCAGTTAAAATCTAAGGTCACTGGCACCGGCTTAAGCAGTTCTCAACATTTATCATGAAATGGTAAAATTTGAGTGTCACTCAGGTTAATATTGCCAAACAATACTGCTAAGTAAATCAACGCATTAACTGGCGTAGTGTCAGAAAATCATGAAATTGCGTGATGCTTTTCTTTTTCACGGTATGATTAAATGTATAGAATAAGTTCACACTCCTAATTAATTTAAAATATTGAAATTGTATTATTTTTCACATGCACTTCTTTTAAAAATATGTTTATACTCAAGCGATTTGTATTGATAGCTATAGCGATTTGATCTTATTAAGTCCTAGCTCACATGATGAGTTTTCAAATATGTCAGCTCTCACACAGTTATCAAATCATTAGTTTTTTTTACTCAGATGTCTTGCATTGTTTTATCGTTCTGTTTTGAACAAAACTTGATTTAAATTCGTACACTCGTTCGTGATGGAATACTTTTGATATTATTGAGAAAAGTCAAAACTTAAACTTTGATATCTTTGCTATTTAATTTTGAAATTAAAATGGTATTTGAGTCGCGTACTATTTTAACACGCTTACCAAGCGATAACAGTAAATATCATTTTCAAAGTTTTTTCTTTATCAACAGTTCAAGTATATATACACAATGTAATGACTTAAAAGTTTACGTTCTTGTTTCCCAAAGTATGTAAAAGTACCGAGCCCAACAGATGGAATCTTTCCAGATCCAAGGGTTAAATGTATGTTATGTAAGTCCATTATTTTAAAACGTTAAACGAGTTATTAATGTATGATACTATATAATGTATAATCCTATATGATAAATAGGCCACCTAGATAATCTTGAGTGTGCTTAACCATGCATAATGCATTTTACTCATTTAAATCGACTTATAATCCTTTATGATAAATAGGCCACTGCTTTACCATGCAAATTGCACATTACACATTTAAATCGACTTGTTCGAATATTGTCAGTATCAGTTTATCATAATCTAATTCATATAATCATATTTAACATTCTTCAAAAACTCAAATTTCATCATTTAATCAAATTAGAAATTTGTCATTTGGACACCTAACACCACATGTCTCTAGATGAGTCAAATCTTTAAAAAAAATCAATTTTCAGTAAAATGTAAAAACGAAATTAAGAAAAAGCAAAAACTTTCACTAGTCAAGAAGTGATAAAAAATTCATCACCATATTTTTACTGCGTGACTAACGGAATAATGGCAATTTTCGCATAGCATATTTGGAGCTTCATTTTGGTATTTTACGTGGATTGAATGCAGTATGTAAATTACTTTCTTTTTCACTTGACAATACATTAATTTTTAAAACACTTTAAAAATTAACATGACATTAAGAATATGGAGGCATACTGCTTAAAGCCCAAATTTCATGTATCACAGTACCTTATTGACATATTTATGCAAATTATTTGAAAGACGTGTGTAATATTGATAATGCTGTTATAATTATACATGTAAAAGTATTGCTAATATTATTAGTTTCACAAACCTACGGGTACAGAAACGGGTTGAAAAAACTGTACAGACACGCCAATTCTGAAAAAGCGTTTACAGATGCGAAAGAAAGAAAACACTTTTATAATTACATGCACGAAGTGGATGATCAAGCCCGCTTAAACACTTACATGTAATTCATTACTTTAAGTTTCTTAATACACCAGTTTATTCTAAAAACGTATGCATTTTTCCATATAATATGATAGTTTCTAAGTTATCAGAAAATCTCTTTAAAATACTAAAAGAAGCGTTAGTCGATTTTTAATTTCACTCCTAACGTCTAACACATTTTCGGTCAAAAGCTGTCTGATTTGCATTTAACTCTCTGTGAAATACATAGGAAAAAATAAATGAAAAATTTTCATCGGTCATCTTTATCCGTTCTCCTTACCAACGCCCAATAGCATCCTAGACGCCTTTTACTGTCCCGGTTTTTTATGTATCCGTCATGCGACTGCATTTCCCTTATACGACAATATAAATTGTTTGTTAATCGGGCGCATAAAAAAGTCGAAGCTAGCAACGTTCAATTTGATTGAAATCGTACCATCGGATGGCATTTAAACTTGTTTCCGATTATCGATCATCCGCCTGCATCGGTCTTTGTGAAGTTCCGACTATCGGACACAAGTTCGAATCCCGCTATTTTTAATGTGAGGTATTCCATGCAAACGACTGCGTTGTTCTTTAATGGCTACGAGTAAAATACAATAGAAATCAGCACAATATGCACAGTGATTAAAATATTGAAAAAAACGTAAGTTTATTAAGGATCCCGCAAAATTGCTTTTCCCGATTAAGACGTCCAAAAAAATGTCATTATCATTAAAACCACTCTTTCTTACACTTCTTTCGTTAAGTAAAATAGTAAAAAAAAAGAATACATGTATTATTTACTTTGGTGCGTTATAAAATATAAATACGTTGGATGAATTATATAAATCACCACCCCCTCCCCCTAAAAAAATAAAGTAAATGAATAATAATAAAAATTTCACAATCCAAAGTATAAAGGGATGTATCAGTCTGATTAACATTAAAGATACAAATGTTTAACAATTGAAGACATAACAATAGCATAGAATCGCTCGTTTCCAGTTATTTCTTTATTTTTACTTCGAAATGAGAATAAATAAAACCTTGGTAGTAAAAAACATATCTTTTATAAATTAGTGGCACCGTCGTTTATTTTCTTCTCTAACATTTTACCAATTGCCCCTGGGTCCTGTAAGCCCATGCGCAATCAAAATGGCGATACCCGGCTTCTACAGCAACATCTACGGCAGCTTCAATCTCATCGAGACTACCATATAAAAAAGAATTTGATACATTACAAATGTCAAACATGGATACAAGGTACTTTTCTGACACTGTGGTACACATTATTATGCATTTAATATCGTATTAATGGTTACCTTTGTGGGATCAATATGATAAAGTCAATCTTAGCAGCATTCTTATTAATATAATAAATATTATATTATGATTTCCCTTAGGTCGTTCAGCAAATCCTTCAAAATATCTTGTTTAAAATAAGACAGCAAACAGATTTTAGTCTGTTCAGAATAAGCTTCTACATAACGCTTGTCTTAGGAACTGAAGACCATCAATGTGAGGTCATTTTCTCGTGACCAGTCAATTAGTCAAACAGTGGCTAGCTTTCGAGTCTTTTAGATCGATATCAGAAACCATAAAACTTGCAATGAGCGAAAACAGAGATACGCGCTTTAGACACCAAAGGGTTAATAACTTAAATTCAACCCATAGATTGGTTTGATCGTGTTGTGCAAAAACGGTATAGTAGGCATATTAATTCTTTAAAATGTATTTACAATAGGGTATCTACAAGTGATTTAAGATTTGAATCAAAACTGAATATACTGACAAATATTTTTTTTAGGATTGGCAACCAAAGAGTACCCGCGGATGTTTAAAGGTGGCGTAACTCGCAGCTTCCATTTGAAATGCGTTAACGTTATCTGTGTTTGCTTAATGAATTCCATTAAATGTAAGTATGACCTTTTTCTTGAAAAGAAAGCATAAATCCAACTTACTACTTCAGCAGAATGAACTAGTTAAAATTAAAGGAAAACATATGTACATAGATATTTGAAATTAAAATATTCTTTGCCCATAGTATAATGTGACATTTCAAAACTTACGACTAGAACAACCCATATGTTAGATATAGATAAGTTCAAGTTCTTGGGTATTATGACTCATTTGAGCAGTATCTTAGTAATATAGGAATTGATACATATAGCTCTTTTATACACAATGTAAATCAGCATTCCGTCTGTTAGCAACATAGTGTCCGCTCTGTTTCTTTTGAACCGAAGAAAAGAAACTGAAACTACTTGGCAGAAATGGTTAACATAATGAGACGATGTGCCAAGTTGGTTTGGGCTTCCCTACAATTGGCCACACCATAGTAATAACTTAATTGTTTGACATGAAATGGAAAAAACACACTTAAGTCAACTTGTGTTAAACTTTAATAACAACAGCTTAGAAAATTTGACATGTTGCATTATCTTCAGACAAAGCTTTGTTGACCTCTAAAAAAGTTACATAAATTACGACCCTGGGCTAAAAGTAACGCCCGCCCTATGTTTTGAAAGCACATCTAATATCTTATGGAAATCAACATTGCCAAGGGCTTATATATTTATCATGTAGCATTGTCTTGAAGACTGCGATATCGTTCAGAAGAACTCTTAACGAAACTATTGAATGCTCTTCGGTGGTGGTTGGCGTTCTTTCACGACAGCTTTGAGCTTCGTCTAGATGTACTTTATCATGTACGCCAGATCTGTCGGTCGAGAACATTAAAATAATGGTTTCCATATTGTTGTGCCAGTCAAGTGTTAGGGTACGATAATATAAAGTTTAATTGACACAGATGCATGTATAAATAATAGTTAGTGGTAGTAAATTATTTTATTATATCATAAAATATTTTAAAAAATGTGGGCCGGTGTATTAATTTTATTGCTAAAACAACTTTTCATAAAGACGTATATTGGGCCCGTATAAAAGTATACAAACGTAAAAAGCCTGTTATTAAAGTGGAATCTCTCTATACGTACCTATATATAGACATATAAGAACTGATTAAATGATCAGGTAGGACTGAAAAGAGACTTTTCCCCTTTTTACTTGAGATATTATATGTAGCTGAAATACCATTTAATAAATGGCGATCATCTCAAATTTAAGAATTTATGATTACGTTGCCAATAAGGACGGCGATAAACAGGGTAGTTTCTAGTGAATTGATTCAATAGTTTCTGCATTTGTTACAGCAAGTTTGGCCTACAAAAAAAACCATATATTCGTATCGTTTGGCGGAAAGCTGGATTAAAACATATGCAGTATGTTACATCAGAAATAGATTATGTTAGAAGTACGTGTTGGTTAGCAGACGAAATTCGAAAAACGGTTAAATTGCGTGTTAAATTGACATTCTGCATGATAATGCACATGTGAATGATCGTGTGAATGAATAGGTAACAAATACACACACACACACACACACACAGCTGTACACAGCTATAATTTAGTTTTATATATACATTGATTAGTACATGTTCTTATATAATGGATTTACATAGAATACAGTTAACTTTAGGATCTGGATATATAACATCTATTGGACTCGGAACTTTTACTTACTTCGGTAAACATGTATGTACTATTTTAGTAATCTTTCAGGTGGTAGGATACTACGTCATCGCTTACCTGCAAATGTCCCCACTCAAAATGTTCTTATTTCATTTTTTTCGGACGAAGTCCGTCTTTTTCAGTTTGACTTCCTGTAAAATTAATAGTGAAGCACTGGTCATTTTAAAATTACAATCTAAAATCGGTGACTCTCATTGGTCATTCTATAGTTCTAACCGTTTAAAAAAATAAGAATAGTTCTATGATAAAATGTAGGGGATAGTTTTGCCACTATAAAATGAAATGTAGATGATAGTTCTAAAATAATATGTACAGGAATGAGGATATTTCTTTTTTAATTGTAGGGTTAATTTGTAAATGATTACAAAATTTATAATGTCAAACGTAAAACAAGTGAGTGAACCGCCTTGAATATATGTTGTTCTTCTTTGAAAAATAATCAATATCAAATTTAATATGCTATAATTTAATGTTTACAAAATGGTATTTTTTTAATAGCTTCAATAAATAATTATTATGTAATTGTTATGCAAGCATTGAAAAAAAAAAAATTGTTTTGAAACCTTAGAAATAACATAATTTTGCATGTTACACAGATTTAATAAGGCCTAGTTTCGTTTTAAAATTCGTAGCATTTTGCAAGTAGTATCCTACCACTTCTTTCGTTAATTTTGTTTATTAAAAACGTTCAAAAATGGATATTTCATCTAAGATTTTCCTCAAAAATGTGAAAAAAATGTTTTATGTTTGAAGTTATACTCGCCTGAGAGAAAATAGATAAGAACATATTTCAACAATCCGACTATTAACTTCCTAGACTTTAATGATTAAAATACATCAGTATAATTTAAACACATGTGGTCTGATGCCGTCTTACTGACCTGTTTGAAACCACTCTAAACATGATGGGAACGCAGTACCTTTTCAACATGGCTGCTTGAAAAAGGGAGTGATTTAATGATACACTTGTAAAGATTTAAACGCGTTTGTGGGATCTACCGCATATAATGATATTATTTATGCTTGAATCATTTAACTATCTAAATATGTTAAAATATGAGAATAAAGATCAATAAGTTCACACAATCCAATCACACCAGAAGGCACTGAACTAAAATTGGGACAGGACAGAAGGACGGTAAAAGGAGGGAAGGGATATATTATAAGTAAAATGATAATAAAAGAACCAAAAGGAGCCAATGTGGGAATTAAAGGGACTAGGTATGTAAATGGAAATGAAGGGGCGCAGAGCACAAAACAGATTAAAAGAGGAGATGGGAAGAAAATACTTACCGTTATGTAACTTATGTAACCCACCCTCTCTGAGAAGCAAGTGAACGTGAGCTTTGCTGACCATTGTAGCAAAGATCTGCCCTGTAAAACAATTACTGGGTGTAATCTTTAACCATCATGTTAAATGATTTAAATTGTTTTGTTGTAGGATTTAGTAATTCTAGATCTTCCGGGTAAAAAGAAAGATGTAAAGGAATCGGTCTTATGTGTAGTCTAACATTTTGGACAATTTCGATGCAGACGTGTATTTTGAAGACCTAAATATGTTTCTACTACTGCAGCTAGTCTAATGAAAAACATTCGAGCTGAAGTTTGACCGGATGACAGCGATGTGCATTTGAATGCTTTTTTGCCCACCGCAAAGATTTTGCTGTGGCTTAAAAAATGGGAAATGTATATATGTATCTATTGGATTTATTGAGATTGCAAAAGAAATTTAAAATTTTTTATCACACTTTATCCAGATTTTTATCACGGTCTGTGATCTCCGGGCTTCTTAGGAATCAGAATCAACGTACTATAAAAACTTAACAATTTCTTTTGGAGGAACTTCTTCTGATCACACTTTCTGTAATTGTTCTACCTCTTGCTGTATAAATATTAATTTTTGGATGACAACATGTGTTTTGCGAACACCTTTGAATTTTGGTATCTCTAGGAATTCTAGTTTGTAACTATGACAACCTTAATCTAGTACTCATTTCTGGGATTGTCCAAATGACTTGTGAAGAACCGGAGACGATCCCAATAGGTATCTTTGGATGTAAAGTAATAGTGTAATCTTGATTAGTCTTTGTTACGAAAATAACGTACCCATGTAGACTTGTTTCAGTTACTGAAGCGTTCTTGTACTTTCGGTATGGTAAAAAGTTATGGCTGATTAAACGGTCGGTTTTTTCCAGTAAGAACCACATGCTGTTGAAGGAAGAGGCAGAAGTTTCTTCTTAATATCTGTTGCTATTATTCTTTGATTATTCTTTTTCTTTATTTAACTATTTTTTTAAGTCCAGAACCAAAAACGGCTTCATGAGAACAGGGTAGTCTGAACATATGTTCTTTAACATAACTGACCTCTTTTCATTCCGTGTCAGCTGCTCTATGAAAAATCAAATGATGAAAAGAATCTGAACGTGCCACTTTATCAAAGGATTTTGTGGACATAACAGAATTGTTTACTGAATTTGGTTTTCAAATACATGTAAAACCGTTATTAGGTTAATCAATGCTTGTTGCATGTAAGTGTTGATTATAAAATAGAGACATTTTAAGCAGAATCCCTAAGTCATGTTCCATACGAGCTATTTACATTGATATGTCAGCTGCTCTAAATATTTTAAAGTGTAATTTAATGATCATAGTTTGACCATGACATTTAAATGACATCCGACCGTTTAGGTCATTTTTTTTCATTTTTGGATGTGATCCATACTTGGACAAAATAACAATTATAAGACGAAACAAAAATATTGATTCATTCAGAATAATCTTTGAACTTAAAATAGCATTGACTGTCGAAGTCTAGTCATCGAATTTAGCTCAAACTTGTGATCACTTTGTAATTTGTTTTCTCCTACATGGTATTAACAGCGTTTATGACGGAAAAGCGGAATGGTAAGTGCTTCGAGTTTGACCTTGACGGTTATATTATTAGTTTTAAAGATTGTTGACAGGTTATATGACCCTATATAAACGGTTATATAGCAAACAGCCGTTTATATACGGCCATATAACCTGTCAACAATCTTTATAACGAATTTATAATACAGCAAGCATCATTTTTTAGAAAAAAAGTGAGAGTTCTGCATGAATCGACAGCAGCCGTCTATATTAAACTATATAAACGTCACGATTATCCAATGAAAAGTGACGTTACAAACATGCAGTATTGTAAGACATTCACTATCAGGTTTGCCCCTCACCGCTGTGGGTTCGAATCTCAACAGGGACTTTGGATTCTTTCATGTGATGAAGCTATCCAGCTAGCTTATGGAACGTCGGTGGTTCTACTCAGGTGCCCGTTCGTGCCTGAAATAATGCACGGAAGGGCATCTGAGGTCTTCCTCAGCCAGTAAAGCTGGAACGTCGCGATATGACCTATACTGTGCCGATGTGACGTAAAACCCAATCAAACTATCAGGTCAAGTTATTGAAGTTATTGATTTAAACTTACAATGGTGATATTACTTTACGAATTGAATGCGAACATTGATTACATAAAATACACTTTTGGCAAAACCGACAAATTTGAATATTTCAACTTTCACATTGACTTTTAATCGGCATTGGCTGTTGTATGGCGCTTTGTTATTTGTTTAAAGATATTATTTATACTTTGGCAAATAAATTCTCCTTGAAATGAAATTATCACCATGTCTAATTATTGAATTTGCTTGAATTGTGATAAAAATCGACATGTTTAGTTTATATTATCTTGCTATCTATAATAATGAGTGTAAAATTACGATTAACATAGCAGACGGCATTCGAATAAGTTGCTTAAATTGCGTATAAATTAGCATTCTTCATGATGTGGTTTCAAAAGATAACAACGCATACAGTCCTATACGTTTATCATATAGTTTTTTACATGCCTTACTTAGTTCATGTTCTAATACAATGGATTTACATTCAATACAATTAACGCTTGGGTCTGGAATAATTCCATCTGTTGGACTCGGCACTTTTACATTCTTCGAAAAACATGTATGTAATTATTAGTTAATATATATAGCTTTTCTTATTGAATTCATAAAATGCTATAAAACAACGTGGATCTTTGATTCCCATAAATTGATTGTGTTATGTTATATATTATACTCAACATGTTACACTTGTGACAAATGAGGTCGATATTTAGCACGCATCTGTGTGAAATGAGCTATAGAACTCGAATAGATGTTGAAGTATCAACTAAACTAAAAGTAAAACAAACTGAGCTTTACTAATGAGTTTCGTATTCTGAGATGTCTTGTGGTTTTGGTGATTGTTACAAAGAAGAAAAATAATCACTTTTTATCCGCCAAAGAATACGTTTACACTATGTTTCCGGTGGCAATGGCAATAAAGTTTCTGGTCAAATGTGGAGAGAGTACAAGGAAAGTGTGTCAACAAAGGGTCAGGGAAACGTGACAGATCTATAACGTGCTATTGTTTTAAACTGTCAAAACTTGCCACGACAGCCACGGCGCGAATAAGATACGTAAAAAGCTGTAGTACGAGGATGTAAACATTAAAACGTAGCAACACGTAATAGCACGTAATAGCCCGTTACAAAACTTGGGACTTGTCTGAACTGGGACGGGAATCTTGTGCATTTCCCGACACGTTCATTCATCCCTAATAGAACGATGCACACCCCTTAGTACGCCTTGGAGGATCTGGTCTTTTACTCCAGCGGCTCGTTATGAAAACCGCGAAAACCCGTGATAAAACTTAGCAAATGTTACAAAACTTAAATTAAACATAAACGGCCAAAATATATGTGGGTACTTTGGGGAACATTGTGTAAACGTATGTTTATTGCTCAACTATAATAATTAAAGAATAAGGCGGCTATCGCATTCCAGTATTACCATGCTATACCGTTATGATATTGTAGGTATGTGATATATACTTAAAAACATTACAAAAAATATACCAACCGCCGACGTAACTGAGTTGGTAAGGATGTTATCTGTTAAATTTCTACTTAAAACAGTCCGGCCCTACTTTTTCGCAAAATGGACATTTTGAATTAATTTTAAAACATTTAATATTGTAAAAAATTTTAATGTTTCTTAAACTTTGTATTTCTTCTTGTTTCTTATGATATGACTTTTTATTACAATATGAGAGTTCTCCTAACAATTAATTGTATTATTACATATCAAATAACCACATACATGCAAATGCAAAAGTACAGGAAGAGATGTCAGGAGGCGTGAGAAAATACTAAAAAGTTCCTCCATCTGCAGAAATTTCATGTTCATTAAAAATACGGCCGGATGAAAATTTGTTTAAGTAATAAAAAAATAATACACCAGCCCACAGACGCTATTACCACTAACAATTATTAACACATGTTACTGTGTCAATTTAACTTATTAAACTTATTGTACCGTAACACCTGACTGGTACAACAACATGAAAACAATAATATAAGATTGAATTTAACATAGTGATCCCACAAACCATTTATACGATATAAAGTGCTTAAATAAATTGTACCACAGTGTCAGAAATATCCCATGTATGCTGTGTAGTATATCATTTTCTATTGTTAGGGTAGTCTCGATGAGATTGAAGCTGCCGTAGGTGTTGCTGTAGAAGCCGGGTATCGCCATTTTGATTGCGCATGGGCTTACAGGACCCAGGGGGCAATTGGTAAAATGTTAGAGAAGAAAATAAATGAAGGTGTCATTAAGCGAAAAGATATTTTTATTACTACCAAGGTTTGATTTGTTCTTATTTTGAAGTAAAAATAAAAAGCAAAACACTGGAAACGAGGAATTCAATGCTATTGTAATGCCTGAGATTGTTATAGTTTTACTTAATCAAATCACACTGATACATCCCTTAATACTTAGTTAACTTTGGATTGTTACATTTATTATTATTTTCTATTGTTTTAATTATTTAACTCAATTTAAGGAATGTAACACAGTGGTTTTAATGATTCATCTAACTTTTTTGTGTATAGATGTTTTAATCGGAACTGGAAAGACAATTAACGGGAATCTAAATAAACTTTGGTCCTTTTCAATATGTTTAATCACTGTGCATATTGTGCCGTTTTCTATTAAAAGAACTCTACAAGCTCTATTTTATTTGACTCGTAGTCATTAACAAACAATGCAGCCGTTAGCACGGAATTCTTCACATTAAAAATAATGGGATTCGAAATTGTGGCCGATAATCGGATTGTCACAAAGGGGCGACGCAGGCGGATGATCGATACATCGAAATTCAGCTTAAATGCCATCCGATGGTCCGATTTCGATAAATAGAATGACAGATACACATAAAATGAAAATCCTGCCTCTATTCTTTACTGTGTGTTTCAAAGGAAGTCAATTAAAACTCAGCGTTAGACCAATGCTGAGAGTGAAATAACTTTTAGTACATTTGTATATTTGTATTTTTGCACAGATCTTTCTGATAACTGAGAATCTATGTTTTTATAATAAACTGCTTTAATGAGATTCTTAAAGATATGAAATATAACAACCAAGTGTTTAAGCGGGATTGATAATTCATGTCGTGAATTTTATTACAAAAATGTTTTGTTTCTTTTACATCTGTAAACCCAATTAATTATCACTCGTGGCGTGAATGTAAATATTATTTACATTTCCATTTCAGTTATGGAATGCACACCACAATCCAAAGCTCGTGTTGGAAGAATTGAAGGACTCGTTAAATCAACTACGAACAAACTACGTTGATATGTTTCTTATACATTTTCCGACTGGAGAGAAAGTTCCGTGAATATATTAGTACACTTATTTATACATCCATTTCCTCAAATAAGGTTTAATAGATTAGCTATGTTGTCAAACTAGAATCTGATGCATAATTTGTTA